TTCGTAAGAAACATTTCATGGTCCTGGAGTGGCCTAGCCAGTCTCCAGATCTCAACCCCATAGAAAATCTTTGGAGGGAGTTGAAAGTCTGTGTTGCCCAGCGACAGCCCCAAAACATCATTATCCATACTGACTGTTTGATGTAAGACCAGAGTGGACCACCCATGCAAAAATACACACACACCAAGCCCTCAAACATGCAACTGACTGTATAACAGACTCTGTTGTCCTTAACCTAAACATAATCAACATCATCATCCTCTTCTACTTCTTCATCCAAGGCATGACATGCAGCAAGCAAAATTAGTGATGGAGACAAAATATACAGTGGGGGAAAAAAGTATTTAGTCAGCCACCAATTGTGCAAGTTCTCCCACTTAAAAAGATGAGAGAGGCCTGTAATTTTCATCATAGGTACACGTCAACTATGACAGACAAATTGAGGAAAAAAAATCCAGAAAATCACATTGTAGGATTTTTTATGAATTTATTTGCAAATTATGGTGGAAAATAAGTATTTGGTCACCTACAAACAAGCAAGATTTCTGGCTCTCACAGACCTGTAACTTCTTCTTTAAGAGGCTCCTCTGTCCTCCACTCGTTACCTGTATTAATGGCACCTGTTTGAACTTGTTATCAGTATAAAAGACACATGTCCACAACCTCAAACAGTCACACTCCAAACTCCACTATGGCCAAGACCAAAGAGCTGTCAAAGGACACCAGAAACAAAATTGTAGACCTGCATCAGGCTGGGAAGACTGAATCTGCAATAGGTAAGCAGCTTGGTTTGAAGAAATCAACTGTGGGAGCAATTATTAGGAAATGGAAGACATACAAGACCACTGATAATCTCCCTCGATCTGGGGCTCCACGCAAGATCTCACCCCGTGGGGTCAAAATGATCACAAGAACGGTGAGCAAAAATCCCAGAACCACACGGGGGGACCTAGTGAATGACCTGCAGAGAGCTGGGACCAAAGTAACAAAGCCTACCATCAGTAACACACTACACCACCAGGGACTCAAATCCTGCAGTGCCAGACGTGTCCCCCTGCTTAAGCCAGTACATGTCCAGGCCCGTTTGAAGTTTGCTAGAGTGCATTTGGATGATCCAGAAGAGGATTGGGAGAATGTCATATGGTCAGATGAAACCAAAATAGAACTTTTTGGTAAAAACTCAACTCGTCGTGTTTGGAGGACAAAGAATGCTGAGTTGCATCCAAAGAACACCATACCTACTGTGAAGCATGGGGGTGGAAACATCATGCTTTGGGGCTGTTTTTCTGCAAAGGGACCAGGACGACTGATCCGTGTAAAGGAAAGAATGAATGGGCCCATGTATCGTGAGATTTTGAGTGAAAACCTCCTTCCATCAGCAAGGGCATTGAAGATGAAACGTGGCTGGGTCTTTCAGCATGACAATGATCCCAAACACACCGCCCGGGCAACGAAGGAGTGGCTTCGTAAGAAGCATTTCAAGGTCCTGGAGTTGCCTAGCCAGTCTCCAGATCTCAACCACATAGAAAATCTTTGGAGGGAGTTGAAAGTCTGTGTTGCCCAGCGACAGCCCCAAAACATCACTGCTCTAGAGGAGATCTGCATGGAGGAATGGGCCAAAATACCAGCAACAGTGTGTGAAAACCTTGTGAAGACTTACAGAAAACGTTTGACCTGTGTCATTGCCAACAAAGGGTATATAACAAACTATTGAGAAACTTTTGTTATTGACCAAATACTTATTTTCCACCATAATTTGCAAATAAATTCATTAAAAATCCTACAATGTGATTTTCTGGAGAAAAAAATTCTCATTTTGTCTGTCATAGTTGCACAATTGGTGGCTGACTAAATACTTTTTTTCCCCACAGTACATCACTGCTCTAATGACAGATTCTGCCCTAAATGTACTTGTGTACATTCACCTGTGGTTGGAAAGACAATGTGATCTGTTCTAGTGGTTATTAAGGCTCTTAAATGCTCATAGGATACTGGTCTAGGGTTATGAAGCTACAAGTGGCACAGCCTTTCCACCTTTCTGCCTTATTATTGCTACTCAGATTTGTAAGTTGTCGCCTCACATATATCTAAGGTCAGTTTTGAGGACGGTAAGCTGATTGTTGTTGCAGGATATACTGCCCATGTTTGGCTTTCTCGGTGGAGGAAGGTGTGGTGAAGGGCTACGACAGGAGTCAAAGATAGACACCTTTAAAACAAGAGGGAGACAGAGGTTTTAAGCTGATCCTGGGTATGTGTCAAAGGGCAACTTCTACCTGGAGTCAGATGCCAGAAACACCTCATGAAAGATGAGGTGTTTAATTGATTCTGTGATCATCTCTCTATGTGTGAAATGAAACCAGTGTCTACAGAAGATGTCTGCCTCTCACATAATCTCTCCTGTGACCAGTGCTTGACTCAATTTGGGTTCCAAAGGAGCAGGAGCTCTACAATACGTTTGAGCTAATATTCTATATGATGGAACAGGAGCTCAAGCAGTAGAATATTTGAGGGGCCGGTACACAGCTCCGGTGAGCTCCTGCCAAAGTCAAGCACTGCCTGTGACCTTTCAACTCATTGTAGTCAGGCAGGTCAAAGGATGTGCTTGTTCATGAAGGTTTGTGAATAGTTATACTGTGCCTATAGCTAAGGCAGGGAGTGACCCTCATCAACAAGCAGTGTGACTTTCACAAGGACTCATCAACCCCTCCTCATCCCCCTCTCTTAGGCATTGGCCGTGTTCGAGAGCATCAAAACCGTGATGTATCATGGGTAAATTGTGACTGACTGACTGATCTACAAATAATGAGTCGTTATTTATGATGCAAGGTGATTTGTAGATCAGTCAGTCAGCAGTCGCCTGCAATGTCAAACAAGCCCATTCTAATCTCATCTCAATGTCAGACAGGGCGAGTCTTAAAAGTATATAGTGGCTTCCTCTCCGTGTTTTCCTTCCCTCATACACTGTTCTGGATAAGCCAATAGGATACTTGTTTTTACCTGTCCGATTCAACATCCATGTCTGCCAGGTGTCAGGTATCCTCAGCACTTCGGTAGATGGATAGATTTAGTTGAAAACCGGATGTAACTACCATTTTTGACTTACTTACATAGGCCATTGATGAATTTCCTCCATCTCACTAGGTTCAGGGGCAGGTTTTTCCTCTGCCTGAACGTATCTCCTCCAAGTGTTTCTGGGTCAACCTCTCTTTCTTTTCTCCATGTGGGTTCCATTTCAAGGACCGCCAGTTTTCGTAGAGTGTGTCCAATCCAACTCCACTTTCTTCTTTCTATTTGTAGTTCAACATGTATAAATGACTGTAAGTAAATTATAGTGTCATGCTAGAGCCATTCCATTCAATCGGTATATCTAGACAGTCTCATCTCCAAAGGAGATCAGGGCAGTTGAGACCTGCTTTCTCTATGTAAAGAATGTCTTGCCATGCTCATGTGCTTGAATATAAAAACAGTAGTAGTATGATCAAATAGCCACAGTAGCCTACTAGGCCACTGTTATAACTGTAAGTTAAAGCGGGTACAGCCTCAGTGTTCACAATAAACGCGTGCCAGAAGTTGCACAGAATTTTCACAACATTCAAGTTTGTGCTCAGCAGACCTGAAATTTGTTCAGTGATTAGAGGGAACATTGTCCCTAACCCTGGGAGTAGTAATATGATGGGTCCCTAACCCTGGGAGTAGTAATATGATGGGTCCCTAACCCTGGGAGTAGTAATATGATGGGTCCCTAACCCTGGGAGTAGTAGTATGATGGGTCCCTTACCCCTGGGAGTAGTATGATAGGTCCCTAACCCTGGTAGTAGTATGATGGGTCCCTTACCCCTGGGAGTAGTATGATGGGTCCCTTACCCCTGGGAGTAGTATGATGGGTCCCTAACCCCTGGGAGTAGTAGTATGATGGTTCCCTAACCCTGGTAGTAGTATGATGGGTCCCTAACCCCTGGGAGTAGTATGATAGGTCCCTAACCCTGGTAGTAGTATGATGGGTCCCTAACCCTGGGAGTAGTATGATGGGTCCCTAACCCCTGGTAGGTAGTAGTACACTGCTTTTCATCAGAATGTTTTTTGAGAGACGCAGCAAATACATTTCTTTTTTTAGACAAGCATTATTGTATAAAAATGTTACCAAAATCCACAGCATTATACACAGACATTCATATACAAAAATATACACTACATTACCAGAAGTATGTGGACACCTGCTCGTCAAACATCTCATTCCAAAATCATGGGGGGACCAACTCCATTAATATGGAGTTGGTCCCCCCTTTGCTGCTAGAACAGCCTTCTCTCTTCTGGGAAGGCTCTCCACTAGATATTGGAACATTGCTGCAGGGTCTTGCTTCCATTCAGCCACAAGAGCATTAGTGAGGTCGGGCACTGATGTTGGGCGATTACGCCTGGCTTGCATTCGACGTTCCAAGTGTTTGATGGTGTTGAGGTGTGGCTGAAATAGCAGAATCCACTAATTTGAAGGGGTTTTCACATACGTTGTATACATAACTTTGTATATATAGTGTACCAATATAACACTAATACAGACAATCATTCAGACAAAAGTCAATGTCCATTGCGTTTCATACTTGAGCTAGGCTTCATTTGGACTGAGGTGGTTTATCTTAACTTAAACTTCTTGTTTCTTATCCTTTATTTTTATTTTACAATAACAACCTGGTTATCCACCAAAAGGTGCTACAGATTCAGAACGTCAAGTTACAAAAACGTACAGAATAATGTTAGGAGGAAACGCCAGTCTTCGCTCTGTGAACTCTTGTGAGCATGTACGCGAGTGTTAGCTGAGAACACCAGTCTCTATGCAGTTTTATAGGCTAGACTCCAAAAGTGTGTGTGTGAGAGTGCGAATGTGATAGTGTGTGTCAAAGTGTGTGTGTGTGTAGGATGATAATATGTGAGTTGCATGTTGACACCACTCTCTCTGTGCTGCTCTGTACTCATGCTTCAGTGTTCTTGGTAGCGTGGGGTCCTTAGGGGTTGGGTGTGGACCCTGAGGCTGGAGCCACCCCTGTCTTGCCTGCCAGGGTGCTGGTCTTGGGCCGCTTGGACTCTGGGGGCTGACACACAGGGTCAGTGGGGGGAGAGGGCCGTTCTGGGGGAATAAGTTGAACCAAAAGAGATGCATCAATCACAGGCAGAACACTGGACTGGATAAAACAAACAGTTCTTAGGAATAAGATTTCACATAATTTAGTATACTCAGATGTTAATTTTGTTTCATTAGTTGGGCTCTCAGAGGCAGACCCCATTACAAAGACCGGTAATGATAATACTGTCCATAGCCAATCGCTGGCCTTGTTGTAAAGTGCTTGGCCAATCCCGGCGTTAGTTGTTGCTGGATATACTGACCATGTTTGGCTTTCTCTGTGGAGGAGGGTGTGGTGAAGGCAGCTGGAGATCTGGAGACGAAGGGAGTCAGAGATATCCGTCTGAAAACAGAAGGTAAGAGAGCGAGAGAACTGTGACTTCGAGGGGGATTCTACCCGGCTCTTGAGTAGGTGGCTGAGGAATTAGTCCCATCTAAGACCACAGTAGAATTCAACATACAGCTATTATTCTATTAGTGTAGGCCTACATAAGAAACACTCCCACCTTATTTAGGATTCATTGATAAAAAGTAAACCTGCAAATAATAACAAATCGAACTTCACTTCTGCCCCTTCTCTCCTCATTCAATCTGTGTTTATATAGACTGATGTCACACACGGCCCATCCATTGTCTGCCGGCAGCTTCTCAGGATAATCAGCATTTGATTAGCTGTGGGGGGTTCAACAAACCCTGAATACCAGACAGGGTTTTGTTCTGACAGACAGTAGATAATGACCAAACACACCGCAAGCGCTCTCATTATTTTGTCACACACACACAAAATGAAAAGTCATCTGCAGCATCTGAAAATCTAAGTTTACAAAATAATTCACAACCATTTCCATAAATGGAAACAGTAGGGGGAAAATGGTTCAATGTCCTTCCCTACACTAAGCATGCTGCCTGGCAGGTGCTCCCATCTCCCACCAGCCTCTCCCCATCTAACTGCTCCTTTCCATCCAGTGATGTGGCATATATTTACCTACCATAGTCTTGCATTAACGAGAGAGAGCGTAGCCTACATGCCGTGTGCTGCCTTTACATTCAGGCTAGCTCGTTTTAGCATCTAGGCTATAGCATCAAGCAGCATTACATTTACATTTGAGTAATTTAGCAGATGCTCTTTTCCAGAGCGACTTACAGTTAGTGCAGTCATCTTAAGACAACTAGGTGGGACAACCACATATCAAAGTAAGTAAATTTTTCTTCAATAAAGTAGTTATCAGCAAAGTCAGTGCTAGCAGGAAAAGTGAGATTTTTTCTCTTTTTTACTGAGATCAGGATTGTTATGAGATTATGGACCAGGGGCAGCCATTACAGCGAGGAGGGTTTCATCCATCCCTTGATTGTAGCGGTGGCTCACATAATGAGGGATTCAACCAGGATCAAGGTACATTTTAGCATGCAAAAAGCTACTCACACTCTCACATTATACACGCACCAACTCTGACTCACAGGCATACATATAAACAGAGACAGGTAAAGACACACACAAACACAGACACACAATGGTCTGTGGATAAAAAAGTAATGACACGATCCATGACATCTTGTATTTGTGCTCTTACCTGGGGGCGGGTCCTTTAGGGGTGCTGGGGCCCAGGGTTTTACCGCTGCTGCATTGGGCCTTTGGGGTGAGGCAGGGCTGGGATATAGAGGGGGAGAGGGGGGTGTTGGGGGTAGAGGGGTTGAGGGGGGTGTTGGGGGTAAGGCTAGGCTGCTGGGGGGTGGCGAGTGTGCTGATGCTGGCTGTGGTGGGGGTTTTGGGGGCACTAGCAGCAGGCGCTTTGGGGGTGCTGGGCTTGCCCCACCCCTCCAGGGTGTTGAGGGTGATCCTACGGGGCTGGGGCTTGGCTTTGCCAGGGTTCTTCTTCTCCTCTCCTCCAGGGGCCAGAGGAGTGGCAGGGGAGGTGAGGGAGGATAGGGGGGTGCTGGGGGCCTCTTTAGGGTTGGGGTGAACAGGGGCGGTGCTCTCTGTGGTTTTGGGGACAGGGGACACCGTGCGGGCCGCTGCAGCCTTCTTGCCCTTCTTTTCAGGGCCGTTGCCAGGGGTGACGACCTCCAGGACGGGGGGCTCCTTGAGGGGGGTGCCCAGCTCGCCAGGGGAGAAGGACAGGAAGGAGCAGTAGCCGTCTGTAGACGACACCGCCAGGAAGGAACCGTCTCGAGACCTACAAAAGGATATGACATCACTAAAGAGACTGGGTGAAAACACCACAGACTGGAACAATGCCACACAACAACAACAACAAATTAAACAGTAGTTAGAAGTTACCCCTAAACACTGATACAGGATCAGATATTGTTCAGTGCAGTTTAGGATAAGGAGTAGTAGGGTCATCGGATCCTAAATCTGTGGTCAAGGAATCTTCTACCTCAAGCTCATCAAAAACACAGAAATAGAAGATACAGTATCTGCCTCAAGGAAGAGAGTGTGTGTGTGTGTGTGTGTGTGTGTGTGTGTGTGTCTGTGTCTACCAGGTGAGGTCGCTGAGTGTGTGGTAGTGGAGGTTGGAGACGTAGCCGAAGGGTAGGGTCTGCTGAGTGTCATAGAGGAAGATGGAATCCTCGGAGGCCACAGCAAACAACAGTCTGTAGGGCAAGCCAAACGTGTTGGGCAGGGGCTGGGCACTGCCATCTGGGGAGCAGGGAGAGGAGTGGGGAGGAGGGAGAGAGAGGAAGGGAGTTAGCTATCCTTTTATATCTTGGGTAATATAGTTTGCTGAATAAATGAAATATATAAATGAGTAATAATCAGTAGAAGAGCTGTGTGTCTTTACCCTCTCCCTTCTTGGTCCTCAGCTCAAAGTAGACGGGGCAACAGCGTACAGCCAGGGTGGCTTTAGCAGGGCAGGGCAGGTGAGCTATGGGCCTAGGATGCATCCAGTTTTACACTTACTCTGATACAGTCACAGATACACACTAAGAGAGCAAGACCTTTTAGAGCTCGGACGATAAACTGAAAATGATCGACACTGATCACTTATTGTAGGCATTTGGCTGATATCGTTCATTACGAAATGTGAAGTTGTAAATTAAATGTTTGCTAATATGGGTGATTGTTAATAGGACAATTGATGGCTACAACCATCAAACTAGTAGTAGTAGTTTTAAGGATAATTCTTTTTTTGTTAATGGTGCACATTAATGTTATAAACGTATTGTTCTCGCATCAATTCAGGCAATTTATGGCAATATGGATGTTAGTCCCATATCACCAAGCTCTAAGACCTACAGTAGGGCAGTGGTTCCCAACTCCAGTCCCCGGACAAGCACACCTGATTCTACTTGTCAACTAATCATCAAGCTATCCAACAAAATGTGTGTTGTTGGGGGTACTGGAGGATTGGAGTTGGGAAATACAGACCTAGAGCAACAGACCCAGAGAGAGCAGCTAACTCCAGACCTGGACAGTTTCAGTTCAATTAATCTGTATTGTCCACAAATGGCTATTGGTTGGCAGCAGTTACCTCTTGAGGCTCTTCCTGGAGAAGACGTAGGTGGTGTTGGTGATGTTCTCCCCTGCCTCCACACACCCCGCTACAGAGAGAGACAGAAAACAGACAGAGGAAGGGGGGGGGGGGGGGAGAGAGGGACACAGAGCGGGACACAGAGAGGGACACAGCAGTCAACTAGCTAGCTAGGTAGCTGTTTAGCTTTCTAGCACATTCACTAATTTGTTTGTAAACAATTAACAAGCTACCACATGTTCTTGTCAAATTGTCAACAGAGCAGCTAGCAAGCAACAAGATATGCAAAATAATTTAAATAAATCAGATTTGAACATTCAGACAAGTCGCATGGCCAAGAATCAGTTTTGTATCTGACTTCAAACCACCTACGAAGGTGGTTTAAAATGTGGCTTGAAATATCTGAATCCATGTCTGTTTTGGCTGTTCAGACTGCAGGAAATAAAACTGATTCGAATCGGATGCAGAAAAATAGTATTTGAGTCACTTCAAACTGCCAATGTGAACAAGGCTTAATTGTTTCTGTGTGTGCGGGTGCGTGTGTTTACCTGGGGCGAGCAGGAAGGAGCCGTCCGGTGTGAAGGTGAGGCGTCTGAAGAAAGACCTCATGCTGTCGTCATGGAACATTCGGTACTGTTTCACCTGCTCACAGACATTAATGAATGTTCGGTGTGTGTATGATTGTGTTTAGTGTCAATGTAAATTGTGTGTGTAAAGTGTGTGTGTGTGTGTGTAGACGGGTTGGTTGTTTAGCAACAAAACTGACACATACGGGGCAAAACAGACAGAGTTGGCTTAGAGTGTTGACAACATGTAAGCTATAGTTCGTCTCCAATGTTTATTGTAAAACATAAATACATTGGCACAATGAGCACTTGCCTCAAATACATCGTTACAGTTGTTGGTTAGCTAGCTACCGAAGTTTAGCCATATTAGCATTGGCATGAAATCAGTCAAAACACCTCAAAACAAGACATGGTATCAAGAACAAGATGAAACTGGCTGAAGCAAGTCACTTACGATTCCCCACATGGTAGCTTCTTGTCATTGTTGGTAGCTATCTGGCTATGCAGAATCACAACACAGACTTCTGCCCCATTGAAGCGTGCACATGGTTTTCTTGACGTTGTCAGCTAACCCATCTATGGGAGAACATTTGTCCACTCAGCTCATACTGACCTCTCCCTCCGCAGCTGATCCAGAGCTCATCTTACTGACACTGTAGGCCTTCCTCCTGCTCTGAGTACTGTACACACGCATCACCCTGAGGGAGGGAAGACAGTCAGATTATCAATCATATCACATTGTTTAAGAAGGTTCAGACCTTATCAATCTACGAGTCCATGTTGGTTCATTGTTTACGTATCATGTTAGTCCCACTGATCACTGATAAAAGGAGAGACAAAATGGCATCTTACGGGAGACCAGTGGCTGTGTGTGTTGTGTTCCTACCTGTCACAGCTGAGTGTGGCCACATACTGGCCCAGCGGGTCCCAGGTCACTCCCTGCACATAGCTCTTATGGTCGTTAAAGATGCACAGCTTCTGACCTGAGAAATACAACAGTTATTACCTGTGTTATACTTATTTCTGATTGGCATTCTAGAGCATGCATTATTTCCCTATAACGCTCGGTATATTTGCACGGTATAAATAAATGGCTATAGTTCATTCTTACATGTTCTATGTTTGAGCTGCTTTTGAAAGCAAAAGCTGAATTGAAAACATTATTGGCATTTTCATAATGGCTTTCTAGGACTGATGGTTTGGTTAGCTAAACTAGCAAGTCTGGTTGCTTGGTTACCACAGCAACTACTGTAGCTATCTAGTAAACTTGCTCTCCACTTCAGTGGATGTTGAACACATTTCTAGTGGCAAATGTGTTAAATTATAGCCATGGTATAAAAGGGATAATCAACTCGGGGCTCTATGCGTTCTCTGGAAAATAATGCAACTCTGTGGAATGTCAGTTACACTCCGCTAGCGCATCGTGGAACACACCTTCCACGTTGTTCATTATTTTTCATAGAACGCATAGCCCCTCATTGATTATCCCTTACTGAATAACATCCACACACACACACACAATATAGACAACACAGAGGTATACAGTTGTGGCCAAATATTTTGGAACCCTTGCAGATTTCTTAAATACTAAACTTTAGGCCACCACACCTTATTGGTGCCAATAATTTTGTCCATGCCATGTCTTTATTTTCTAAATTAAAAGTTTTAAAAAAGTTTACAAAAATACTATTAATTCTGCAATGTTGAAAATCCAATAAGGTGAGGAGACCAAATGTTTTTCTTCAATTTTAACTTTAGAAGACATAGGGAATTATTTAAGAAAAGTGCAAGGGTGCCAATATACAGTATTTGGCCGCAACTGTAACTGAATAGACACGTCTTACCCTTTGTTACATCCCACATAATGGCAGTGTTGTCCACAGAACCAGAGACCATGAAGTTCCCATCCCGGGTCCAGCTGATATCATACACATCCTCAATGTGTCCCCTACAAAACACAACACCATTTAAACAATGCACACACAAACAGTCACGAATGTGATTATGAAGTAATACACAGGGAGGGAACAATGTATTATAGATAAGGGGAGTGATTAAAGGGTCTCACCGCAGGGTCTTGACCACGCTCCAGCTCTCCTTGTTGAGCTGACAATCCTCCTCCTCCTGGAACGACGGGGTCTGCTCAGGCTCCTTACTGTCGTTCAGCTTCCACAGCAGGATGGCTGAATCTGTTACACACAGTCATCAACACACAGTCATTAGCACACACACATGGAACAACATAAACTGTGGACTGAGTATTTGTTATCAAAGCAGTCTACAACAAGCTAAATTAGCAGATGAAGTCACTGACGATGGAAATACTCGCACATATTTTGTGCAGGAGTAGAGACATGTCGTTTTCTCACTGTCTATCGGTGTATGCGTCTGCACGAGTTTCAAAGTGAGCCATGCCACAAGACAGGGCGCGGGAGACATGCTCGCGAATGGATTTAGAATATTGATAAGTGGCAGTTGGGACATCGAGTGTGCATCGTCTCAATGCTCATTTTGGCCAAGACACTTGCAGACTCGAGTGATCACTATCGAACACATCAGCAAGTGGCCAATATATAAAGTGTTTAGGGGCCAAGTGTTCGGTTTGAGATTCTGCCTAGCTATGACTTGAACATAGTAAAGTACAAAAAAGACATGCACTCATTACTGTAAGTTGCTCTGGATAAGTGTCTGCTAAATGACTAAAATGTAAATATAAATAGCGTATTATTGTTCAGTGTTGGCATCAATTGATTACAATTGGAGATGCTGATCACCCTTGTTCCATTTTATTTGTCAACTATGCTATAGTTATATTTGCTATATATGTTATATCTTTATGGCAAACCATTTTCTGTCATACAGATGCAGTCAAATATACTGGCACGTGGCACCAATGATGTACAGTGGGGAGAACAAGTATTTGATACACTGCCGATTTTGCAGGTTTTCCTACTTACAAAGCATGTAGAGGTCTGTAATTTTTTATCATAGGTACACTTCAACTGTGAGAGACGGATTCTAAAACAAAAATCCATAAAATCACATTGTATGATTAAGTAATTAATTTGCATTTTATTGCATGAGATAAGTATTTGATACATCAGAAAAGCAGAACTTAATATTTGGTACAGAAACCTTTGTTTGCAATTATAGAGATCATACGTTTCCTGTAGGCCTTGACCAGGTTTGCACACACTGCAGCAGGGATTTTGGCCCACTCCTCCATACAGACCTTCTCCAGATCCTTCAGGTTTCGGGGCTGTCGCTGGGCAATACGGACTTTCAGCTGCCTCCAAAGATTTTCTATTGGGTTCAGGTCTGGAGACTGGCTAGGCCACTCCAGGACCTTGAGATGCTTCTTACGGAGCCACTCCTTAGTTGCCCTGGCTGTGTGTTTCGGGTCGTTGTCATGCTGGAAGACCCAGTCACGACCCATCTTCAATGCTCTTACTGAGGGAAGGAGGTTCTTGGCCAAGATCTCGCGATACAAGTTCCCATCCATCCTCCCCTCAATACGGTGCAGTCGTCCTGTCCCCTTTGCAGAAAAGCATCCCCAAAGAATGATGTTTCCACCTCCATGCTTCACGGTTGGGATGGTGTTCTTGGGGTTGTACTCATCCTTCTTCTTCCTCCAAACACGGCGAGTGGAGTTTAGACCAAAAAGCTATATTTTTGTCTCATCAGACCACATGACCTTCTCCCATTCCTCCTCTGGATCATCCAGATGGTCATTGGCAAACTTCAGACGGGCCTGGACATGATTGACCGTCATCTTGAACTTCTTCCATTTTCTAATAATTGCGCCAACAGTTGTTGCCTTCTCACCAAGCTGCTTGCCTATTGTCCTGTAGCCCATCCCAGCCTTGTGCAGGTCTACAATTGTATCCCTGATGTCCTTACACAGCTCTCTGGTCTTGGCCATTGTGGAGGTTGGAGTCTGTTTGATTGAGTGTGTGGACAGGTGTCTTTTATACAGGTAACAAGTTCAAACAGGTGCAGTTAATACAGGTAATAAGTGGAGAACAGGAGGGCTTCTTAAAGAAAAACTAACAGGTCTGTGAGAGCCGGAATTCTTACTGGTTGGTAGGTGATCAAATACTTATGTCATGCAATAAAATGCAAATTAATTACTTAAAAATCATAATGTGATTTTATGGATTTTTGTTTTAGATTCCGTCTCTCACAGTTGAAGTGTACCTCTGATAAAAATTACAGACATCTACATGCTTTGTAAGTAGGAAAACCTGCAAAAATCGGCAGTGCATCAAATACTTGTTCTCCCCACTGTATATAAACCCTGGATTGCTGATGTTATGTATTGGCCATTGAGCTGCTTTGAAGCCACCGGTTGGCCATATTGGCACTCCTCAGTAGGATGTTGCAAGGACAAAATTACATGTATTTAATTATTCTTTAGGTGTAGTGGGGACAGTAACATTAGTCATGTCTAAAAATGATATTTTAAGGAAATTGTTTTTATATCTTTTTTATGTTTAGCTCACATAATATAATTTAAAAGTATGAATTAAGGTGTCTGTAATAGAATGAATGCGGCAAAGACAAATGCAGACATTAACAAAGCATTTCTATAGCTTCCAAACTATTTTTTACAATGGTGGGAGAGTACCAAGATGGAGGCATCGTGGCTTCAACACAGCGCCCTGATCAGTAATCTAGTGTATACTGTATAGGCTATAGAGCATTGATTGGCACCCTTGCACTTTACAATGGAGAAGAATGTTCTGTTTTATCTTTTTTAAACCGTTTGAATGGCAATTCTTACCCTGTAGGCACCTGCAATGTATCACAGATTTGATTAATTACACAGTAAATGAGAATAATTACCTCTAACCAAATTCATTCTGATTTTGAATAATTTCAGCTTAGATATTTTTCTTCTCTTGGTCCTGTGCAGTTGTAAATCAAAGAAATACACGTATAAACATATGTTTTTTCAACATATTTTAGAAGAAATAGTGAATCATGCAAGGGTGGCAATATACTGTATCTAATCACATCTTTATATATTACAGTCCCGCTGTGTTGATATATACGTTTACTACGTCGAGACCCACCATCTCCTCCAGATGCGAGCAGCTCGCTGTTGGGGCAGAAGCGCACCACATTGACAGCCTTGGTGTGCCGTGCCAGGTTGGACAGGAAGTCCACCACAGCCTTCCCATCAGGCCCCATCTCCACACGCCACAACTGACCACAGGAAGTGACATCACACATTACAGCATCACACAGACCCACTACACTCGTTAGGTCATTGTCTCTCTTAATAGCATATCACCATACAATGCATTATTAAATAGTTCCCTTACTAAGCTCTCTCTGTGTGTGTGTGAGGCACTCTGCTAATGCATACAAAGTGTTCACAGTGTGTGCGTGTATGTATGTGAGAGAATGAACGATAGAGAGCAATAGAGAGATATAGAGACTGGTCTCAATTCCAGATTGGACCCTTGAAACAACCCCAGAGAAGGAATGATTAAACGACAATGGCGGTGTTGTTTTAAACAGATAACGTTAGTAGCTACTCACCCTGACAGTGGTGTCCACTCCTGCTGTGGCCAGCCTGTGTATGCAGCCCTCAGAGTTGTGCTGGAAGTCCAGACTGTAGACAGGCTCTTTGTTGTGCCACGCAATCTCACATGTTATCACCTTCATCTTGCTACTAAATACAGGCAGAGTAGCTAACAGTAAAGATGTCATAGCTACAGAGAGATACTAGCTAGTTAGCTAGTTACAGCAACTGAACAAACAACAGCTGTTGTGTTGTTGACACCGACAGTCACTTGCAATACATACTGAGAAGGCAGTGGAGAAAGTTGGGCCATTACCAACTTTCAAATGCTTATAGTTACATTCATTGTTTTAAAGAGTTAGCTTGGTAGCTACTGGTTTGCTTAGTAAAGCCAGGGCCAAGTTAGGTTAATTAGTTAGCTCTGTGAGATTAAGTACACCCACTTGCGAACACACATGAACATTTATGTTATATTAAATATTTCATTATTCAGATATGCATTTATCTCTGCCTACCAGTTTTTTCCACTGTTTAACTTTTCTGCTGCGTCCCGCGAGGAGTCGAGTAAACAATCAGAGCAGCGAAAAACAACATTGCTTTCCCGCGTAAAGTTCGGCCAGAACTTCCGGTAGAGAAGTAAGCACTGATAGGCTGAGAGGGGAAGGGGCGGGTAATACCAGAGTAGTCCAGGGTTTACACGAGCTTCTATAGCCACAGATTCCACAGCCACAAAATCAAAATTGGCACACACAAAAAAGTGCTTTTTGGTCTTAATTTAAGGTTAGGGTTAGGTTTCAAATCAAATGTAAGAAGACAAATTGTAGAAATGGGCGGGGTTTATGACTTGGTGTCTATAGAGCTCGCCAGCTTGTAGTCCTAAAAACAGCCATTCCTATGGGCAAAACTAACGGGGAAATAATAGGGTTTTGGAATACACGCCGAAAATAAGGTCACAGGTTAACACAGGCTAATGAGATCTTATATGTTTTGTTCTATGAGTTAACATGACATTTATGAATTATGCATTTATGCAACGTTTTTTTCCAATGACAAATGCTTAAGACAGTGATGTTAGCTGATGATTATATCATAGAACAAAACCTATAAGATCTCCTAAGCCTGTGTTTGCCACAGACCTTATTTTCGGCATTTATCCAAAAACCCTACAAAAACTCCATACATTTTCCCATAAGCTTCATTTAACGAACCATGGTGGTTAGTGCCTACAAAAAGACGCCATTACTATAGTCCGCCACAGTGGACACATAAAAACACCCATAATACCCATATAAACACAGAAATGGTTCCAATGTTGTTGTTTTTCGCCATTCATTTTTCACATTGTCAATTAATTGTGTTTGGTGTAGGCTTATCTTGGCGTAACGTTTTGATAGCTGTGTAATTCTCTCTCGGACAACGTGAGTTTTATCAATATATTCGCCTCAATTTACTCTTAAACATTCTCAACGCGAATTATTGATACAAGTTACCTTATCCGAGAGAGATTTGTGCAGTTATCAAAACGTCACGCCAAGGTAAGCCTACACGAAACACTGACTTTATACAGTATGACGTAATTCTAAAATCGCAGATGGAAAAATTAATGATGAAAACGATTGGAACCATTTCCGGGTTTTATGACTCATACTGTGTATGGGTAATTTCAAGATTGTCAATCTGCATTCAAAAGACATTTCAGTATAGCAGAATAACATATGACGACATGCAAGCCATTGTAAGTGATTGATGTAATGTAATTTCAGCCATTCATCAAATATGCACTTGCTAGGTGCTCTTCTGATGACACAATGACCTTATTGCTTCAGTTTTGATGCCTTCCCAACCAAGTGAATTATTACTGATCATGTATGGAATTGTGAAAGTGACAGAGGATTTGTTAGTCAGTAAATGTTATTGGGCTTTCTAGGTCTACTGTTTTTTCATTGCATACTGTATACTTTAAGAAGCAATGTTGGTAATGTATTACAGCATTAATGTGTGTATCTTTTGTTGCCAGTGACGTAAGGGGCTATACATTGAAATAAAAGTCACATAACACATTGTTAGAACAGTGAAAAAAATAAATATATTTTTAAAAGAAATAATACATCCGGGACAGTTGCATTGCTAAAAGGACAACCAAAATGTCCTCTTGTCGAGAAAACAAAACACATTCCCACGCTCTAATCCCAATTGAGGGATAAATCACAAATCAATAAATTAACCAGGATGAATAAATTAACCAGTTAACTTTGTTAACATTCCAGATATAGCTGCTGATTTTCCAGTTTATTAATAAAGGTTCAGTTGAATATGGACCTCAATGAGTCAATCTTTCTTCATGAACTAGAAGGTTTGGAGTGGTTTGAGCTGGCTAACACTTTGATCCTGCTTTGAAATACTTCTCTGGACTCATCCCCCATCTCTTGCATTACAATCTCCGCCCGCATACAGAACTTTTACTTAATAATTTACAATTTTGTTAGTGTCCCAGAGGTAGGAATACGTTTGAAATCCTCTGGAGTGCAAAAACCCTGTTATTTCAAGAGAAACATCAGTCTCAGCTCAAAGAACAGAGAGGGATCTGATAAGACAAACGTGTGACAAGAGTGAGGGGAGAGCTTATGGATATGGTACCCCTAGTTATAAAACATACAATACAAAATAAAAAATATATGTTAACTCAAGATTTGGGTGAAAAAGGCTTCAATATTTCTTAGTAAATAAATGAACATGAGCACATAAGAGTGAATGCAACATTGAATACTGAACTTAATCTGTCTTGATCTAGGAACGATGTAGAACTGATGGCTAGGTCTGTTTTGGGAGAGAAGGGCGTCCTTCTACCAAGCCACAGAACAGTCCATGGCAGAGATTACATCCCTACACTCATCAACTGAAAACTCCTCTGTTCCTGACGTCATTCCAGGAAAGTTCACTGTGGTCACCTGTAGTCGAAGAGAAAAACATCTTCCCGGAACACTGACAAGATTCTAGAGCCTCCATCCACATTGGAGTAGTAAGTGTCTGTGAGAAGGAGAGGTTGAACTCAGTAACCCCAAAGTTTCAGTGCAAAATAGCTTACGGTTTGTTGCATCATTAAGTACCACCATGGTCATGGAACAATATAAAAGTGTTTGTACAGCAATACAAATAAATACTTTTCAGTTCATTCCCTCTTTCACTTGTAAAAAAATCCATAGAAAATCCATTTTAAAAATTTAAAAACGCTGAGGTAAAAGGAGAGGCAGGAAGTCTCTGTGACCATCTCCAGGTCTGCCTCTCCTCACAGAGTTAGATGGAGGACAACCCCTCCATCCATATCCCGCCCCCAGGCCCCTACGCAGGCCCCAATGTCTCCACATCAGTAAGAACCTGGTCGAGGATCTCGTCGATGACTGGACAGTCGTAGTTGACTTGTTCGAGGTCCAACGCTGGGACAAACGTGACGAGGAGACGACCAATGCTCCTCCGAAGCTCCCTCAGTCTGAGAGAGAGAGACAGAAACAGAAAAATGGTGATCAACATGTACAGTGCCATTCAGAAAGTATTCACACCCCTTGACTTTTTCCACATTTTGTTGTGTTACAGTATGAATTTAAAATTGATTAAATTGAGACTGTCACTGGCCTACACACAATACCCCATAATGTCAAAGTGGAATTATGTTTTTAGACAATTTTACAAATTCATAAAAAATGAAAAGCTGAAATGTCTTGAATCAATAAGTATTCAACCCCTTTGTTATGGTTTGCCTAAATAGGTTCTGGAGTAAAAATGTGCTTAACAAGTCAGATAATAAGTTGCATAGATTTTTTTTATTTTTATGACTACCTCATCTCTGTACCCCACAGATATAATCATCTGTAAGGTCCCTCAGTCGAGCAGTGAATTTCAAACACAGATTCAACCACAAAGACCAGGGAGGTTTTCCAATGCCTCGCAAAGAAGGGCACCTATTGGTAGATGGGTGTAAAAACAAATTATAAAAAATGACATTGAATATCCCTTTGAGCATGGTGAAGTTTTAAGTTACACTTTGGATGGTGTATCAATACACTCAGTTGCCGGAGAGGAAGGAAACCGCTCAGGGATTTCACCATGAGGCCAATGGTGACTTTCAAATAGTTCGAGTTTAATGGCTGTGATAAGAGAAAACTGAGGATTGATCAACATTGTAGTTACTCTACAATACTAACCTAATTGACAGAGTGGAGAGAAGGAAGCCTGTACAGAATAAAAATATTCTAAAACATGCATCCTGTTCGCAAATAAGGCAGTTTATGTCCTGAATATAAAATGTTATGATTGGGGCAAATCCAACACAAACACATCACTGAGTACCACTCTTCATATTTTCAAGCATGCTGGTGGCTGCATCATGTTATGGGTATGCTTGTCCTCTGCAAGAATTCAGGAGTTTTTTAGGATAAAACAAAACATAATAGAGCTAAGCACACGCAAAATCCTAGAAGAAAACCTGGTTCAGTCTGCATTCCAACAGACACTTGGGAGACAAATTAACCTTTCAGCAGGGCAATAAACTTAAATTGGCTTGAAAATCTATGGCAAGACTTGAAAAAGGCTGTCTAGCAATGATCAACAACCAACTTGACAGAGCTTGAAGATTTTCAAAAGAATAATGTGCAAATATTGTACAATCCAGGTGTGCAAAGCTCTTAGAGACTTACCCAGAAAGACTCACAGCTGTAATCATGCAAAAGATGATTCTAACATTTATTGACTTGGGTGTGAATACTTATGTAAATGAGATTTCTGTATTTCATTTAAATAATTGTGCAAAAATGTCTAAAAACATGTTTTCACTTCGTCATTATAGGGTATTGTGTGTAGGTGGGTGAGAGAAAAAAATATATTTAATCAATTTTGAATTCAGGCTGTAACACAACAAGATGTGGAATAAGTCAAGGGGTATGAATACTTTCTGAAGGCACCGATGATTTGATGACCATACAGGAATACTGAAGGAAACAAAAGTGAAAATCTTATCCTCACGTTTGGGGCGCCTCCGAGGTCGAGCCATTAGCAGCACTAGTGACCGCTATGTCTCCCCTCTCTGTCTGGGCAGCCTGAGCTGCTTCTCGCTCCTCTTTCTCTCTCTCTTGTTTCTCTCTCTCCCACTCTTGTTTCTCCCTCCTAAGCTCCACCACGTCCAGCTGCAGCGTCTCACACTGGGACCAGAGGTTGCCCCTCTCCTCTTTCATAGCCTCTACCTGGGGGAGGGAGAGCAGACAAGGGCACAGAAGGGAATGGTCGGCAGAGGATTATGTGGAGGAGGGAGATAAGAAATCACATCAGATAGACACCCTGATTCATGTTCATTTACACACAGCATGGTACATTGCCCCATCACCACCTCTTCATCCTACACACACCTGGTACATCAGGTTTCCATCAATCCAGTATTTTTCATGGTACGGTAAAATATCAACAGCATATCTATAAAGGCAGGGGGACAAAATGTCCACTCACCTGGGAGCGTAGCATGTCACGTTCACAGTTGGCGTTGCTGAGGTCCTGGAGCAGAGTGTCCACCTGTACAGCCAGCTGGTCACTGACCTTCCTCCCCTCCGCCTGCTCTCCTTCTCCACCCCCTGCTCCAGTCTGACAGACCTGGTGGCATTGCTCTCTCTTCACAGCGGCCTGGGAGAGCTCCTGCATGCTGCCCTCCAGGTCATGGAGCTGGCAGGTCAGCTTGTGGACCTGCTCCTTGAACTGGTCCCTCTCATGGGCTGCAGCCTGCATGAGCTCCAGCAGCTGGTCCTGCTGCTCCTGGGCCTCCGACAGGTTACGGAAGTCAATCAGAGGACGGTCTAATGGGTCTGGGGCTGATGGGCCAGCAGACGATGGGCCTGGTGCGGATGGGCCTGGTGTGGATGGGCCTGGTGTGGATGGGCCTGGTGTGGATGGGCCTGCAGAGGATGCGCCTGCAGAGGATGCGCCTGCAGAGGATGCGCCTGGTGTGGATGGGCCTGCAGAGGATGGGCCTGGTGTGGATGGGCCTGGTGTGGATGGGCCTGCAGAGGATGGGCCTGGTGTGGATGGGCATGGTGTGGATGGGCCTGGTTCTGTTCTCTTCCTCTCTCTTTCCTCCTTCTCCCTCTTCTTCTTGTCGTCCTCTTTTTTGTTCTTCACTTTTGTCCGGTTCTCTATTCTCTCCTTCTCCCTTTCCTTCTCTCCTTCCTCCCTTTTCTTTCGTTCCTCCTCCTCTTCATCCTTCACTTCGCCCCGTATGTCTGTCTGGGTGGTGATGCTCATCTGCTCTGAGGGAGGTGGTGGAGGGGAGGGGTTGGTCGCTGCGGTTCCCGTCTCCATGGAGCTTGTTCCTATGCCATTGGTCTTAACGTTGCCAGTGCCAGAAGGTGTTTCCACGGCCCTACTCTCTGACTTTACCTTGGCCATGTCAAAGGTTGCCTTCTTTGGAATAGGGGTGCTGTTGGTCTCCAAGATAACAATGTCATCGTCATCCGTGATCTCATCATCGTCATCGTCAATAGGGATGATGACTGACGGGGATGACACATTAGTCTCTGCCGCCGTTGATGCAGTCCCCATAGAGGTGTTTTGGTGGAAACCGTTCACCCTGGGTCTTTTGGTGTCCCTTTCAGAGGTCATTGCCAATGTTCTCTTCATTCTACAGAGAGGGTATGGGGCTTATTATGCACTAATGAACTAATAACAATGACTATTGACAGAATTTCTATGTGTCTTGTGGCAATGATATGTCGTACAAACACTACGAGAGAGAGAGAGAGCATACAAGAGAAGAGAGAAAACCACTCAAGACAGTGGGCCTACCTTGAAGGGGTTGAAGGGGCTGGAGGGGTTGAAAGAGAGCACACGCTAGAGATGATGGGCATGTGGTTGGAGGAAGGGCTGGTCCCTATGAAGAGAGACATACATACAGTGAGGGAAAAAAGTATTTGATCCCCTGCTGATTTTGTACATTTGCCCACTGACAAAGAAATTATCAGTCTATAATTTTAATGGTAGGTTTATTTGAACAGTGAGAGACAGAATAACAAAAAGAAAAGAAAAGAAAAACGCATGACAAAAATGTTATGAATTGATTTGCATTTTAATGAGGGAAATAAGTATTTGACCCCCTCTCAATCAGAAAGATTTCTGGCTCCCTGGTGTCTTTTATACAGGTAACGAGCTGAGATTAGGAGCACACTCTTAAAGAGAGTGCTCATAATCTCAGCTTGTTACCTGTATAAAATAAACCTGTCCACAGAAGCAATCAATCAATCAGATTCCAAACTCTCCACCATGGCCAAGACCCAAGAGCTCTCCAAGGATGTCAGTGACAAGATTGTAGACCTACACAAGGCTGGAATGGGCTACAAGACCATCGCCAAGCAGCTTGGTGAGAAGGTGACAACAGTTGGTGCGATTATTCGCAAATGGAAGAAACACAAAAGGACTGTCAATCTCCCTCGGCCTGGGGCTCCATGCAAGATCTCACCTCGTGGAGTTGCAATGATCATGAGAACGGTGAGGAATCAGCCCAGAACTACACGGGAGGATCTTGTCAATGATCTCAAGGCAGCTGGGACCATAGTCACAAGAAAACAATTGGTAACACACTACGCAGTGAAGGACTGAAATCCTGCAGCGCCCGCAAGGTCCCCCTGCTCAAGAAAGCACATATACAGGCCCGTCTGAAGTTTGCCAATGAACATCTGAATGATTCAGAGGAGAACTGGGTGAAAAGCGTTGTGGTCACATAAGACCAAAATCGAGCTATTTGGCATCAACTCAACTCGCCGTGTTTCGAGGAGGAGGAATGCTGCCTATGACCCCAAGAACACCATCCCCACCGTCAAACATGGAGGTGGAAACATTATGCTTTGGGGGTGTTTTTCTGCTAAGGGGACAGGACAACTTCACCGCATCAAAGGGACGATGGACGGGGCCATGTACTTCAAATCTTGGGTGAGAACCTCCTTCCCTCAGCCAGGGCATTGAAAATGGGTCGTGGATGTGTATTCCAGCATGACAATGACCCAAAACACACGGCCAAGGCAACAAAGGAGTGGCTCAAGAAGGAGGACATTAAGGTCCTGGAGTGGCCTAGCCAGTCTCCAGACCTTAATCCCATAGAAAATATGTGGAGGGAGCTGAAGGTTCGAGTTGCCAAACATCAGCCTCGAAACCTTAATGACTTGGAGAAGATCTGCAAAGAAGAGTGGGACAAAATCCCTCCTGAGATGTGTGCAAACCTGGTGGCCAACTACAAGAAACGTCTGACCTCTGTGATTGCTAACAAGGGTTTTGCCACCAAGTACTAAGTCATGTTTTGCAGAGGGGTCAAATACTTATTTCCCTTATTAAAATGCAAATCAATTCATAAAAATTTTGACATGCGTTTTTTCTGGATTTTGTTGTTGTTATTCTGTCTCTCACTGTTCAAATAAACCTACCATTAAAATTATAGACTGATCATTTCTTTGTCAGTGGGCAAACGTACAAAATCAGCAGGGGATCAAATACTTTTTTCCCCCCTGTACATTTATATCAACACCTACATTATCAGAAACATCGCCATCAACATAACACACGCAGTTCCCAGTAGACGTACCTGATTGTGTGAGGGGAGAGATCCTGAGAGGAGAAGATCTGGGCCTTGCACTGAGTGGTGACGCTGTGGAAGCCCTAGAGCTCAGTGGTGCCTTCACATTAACTCTGACTGTGGGGGGAGCAGCAGCTGGAGACATCTGTACAGCTGTCCTGAAGCTCTACACATGACAGAGGAAGGGAAGGACATGAGTAGGAAGACTTCGTATTGGCTGTTTTTATTCAACTAGCTAGTCCTCCTGGCCTCTGTACTAGGCGCTGCTATATGACATAGCTAGACCCACCGATGTCTTTATAAGCTGCAGTTTCAGGTCCTCCTGTTGGCGCCTCAGAGCCTCGTTTTGCCGAGCCAGCGCCGCGATCCGCATCCGCTCTGACTTCTTCTGCTCATCTTCATACTGACACACACACACCAGGGCCAGGCATTAGGACATACACAACAGGGTAGTTTGGGCAGGGTACACAACATATAAGGTAGAACAAAACATGTATGGCCATAACATACCGGTAGGCATGAACCAGGGTGTGACACATACACAGACGGACACAGAAATAGCTAACCTGTTGTCGTTTCCACTCCTGCTGCATTTTGGTGTTCCTTTCACTGTGAAATAGAGCACAGATTGACTGACATAGAAAACAATGTTTAAGAAAATAACACTGGCACCATTGAGATTTGATTTAATTGAAAATGAAAAGCCATAATTGCATTAATCTCTCACCTGCTGACATCATACACATTCTATGGAATAGCCTATCAGGTAAAATATTATTGGCACCCTTGATAAAGGTGAGCAAAAGGTTTTCAATGGGGTTCAAGTCAGGGGACTGAGATGGCCATTGCAAAATGTTGATTTTGTGACAATTTCTTGGTGGATTTTGATGTGTGCTTGGGGTTATTGTCTTGCTGGAAGATCCACTTGTGGCCTCGAAGTTTCAGCCTCCTGGCAGAGCCGACCAGGTTTTTGGCTAAAACGTCCTGGTATTTGGTAAAGTTAATGATGCTGTTGACCTTAACAAGTGCCCCAGGACCAGTGGAAGCAAAATAGCCCCATAACATTTACATTTTAGTCAAGATCCACCACCATATTTTACAGTAGGTATGAGGTTATGTTCTGCATATGCATCCTTATTTTGACGCCTAACCCACCACTGACTGGTGTGCATGGCCAAAGAGCTTTATTTTCATGTCATCTGACCATAGCACCGGTTCAAATCGAAGTGCCAATGGCGTTTATCAAACTCTAGGCATGTACATTTGTTTGTTGCTCTCAATAAAGGCTTTTTCTGGAAACCCTTCTAAGGAGCCTATTGGCATGGACGTGGCGTCTAATTATAGATTTGGCGACCCGTTGATGCGATGAAGTCCTGTAATTCTCCACCTTTGGCTCTTTTATTTGCCTCCCGAACCATCTTCCTCACTGTGCGTGGGGCCAAGATACACATGCGTCCAATACCTGGCAGGTTTACCACTGTTCCAGCGGTTTTAAACTTCTAAATTGATGCCCTAATAGTGGTAGGTTGTATTTTTTTGGGGGGTTCAAAATTATTTTTAGCCATTGTCAGATTTATGAAGGTCAACAACCATGTATGTCTCTTTTCGATTGTGAGTTCTTTGCCTTTTCCCATGGTGATGGATGACATGCGTGTTACCTCATTTTTATACCCCAGTGAAACAGGAAGCCATGGAAGGCCACAATACAGTTCCTTAAACTGAGATTAACTTTAAAAAGTAGCCTGTTAATGCAGATTTAATTAAGAATCTTAAAGGGTAACAATAGTTTTGACATCTACACTACCGGTCAAAAGTTTTAGAACACCTACTCATTCAAGGGTTTTTCTTTATTTTTTACATTGTAGAATAATAGTGAAGACATCAAAACTATGAAATAACACATATGGAATCATGTAGTAACCAAAAAAGGGTTAAACAAATCAAAATAGGGCGGCAGGTAGCTTAGTGGTTAAGAGCGTTGTGCCAGTAACCGAAAGGTTACTAGGTGAAAATAGTAAAAATAAAGAAAAACCCTTGAATGAGTAGGTGTTCTAAAATATTTTACCGGTAGTGTAGATTTTTTAGAACAAAATGTATTAGTTGTTAAACAAAATCTCTTTCTCTGAACAATTATTTGTATTGATATAAAATAATAAAACAATATAGCTCAGTAATTATATTATTTATTTTATACATAATTTTTTGCTAATCTTTACAAGGGTGCCAATAATGGACCTGACTGTACAACGTTAACTCCTTTCCTACTGTTTTCCAAAATCTGTCAAGTCAACAGTTAGGTGTGCTTGCTGAAAGCAATGCACAACTCCAGATTTCTCTCATAGTCTTATTATTAGAGGGGCTTAAAGCATGAGTCCCCACTTTAAATCTTCGACATACTTCTTCTTCTGCACGCTACTCCTCTTACACCGTTTGGATTGAGTTGCTTACATACAACTTTTTGACATCTTTTATACTTTTTAAACTGTAAGCTTTTTGTCCTTATTTTTGTCCTCCATCCACTTCCATGGGATTTCCTCAACATTCTAAAGGTCCCAGTGTGACACCACTTTCAACATTCCATTCACTCTAAATGCAACAATGCAAAACATTTCTTGTTTTTTCTTGTTTTATTTTTGGTAGTTACAGTCCCATCGCTGCAACTCCCGTACGGACTCGGGAGAGGCGAAGGTGGAGAGCCGTGCGTCCTCCGAAACACAACCCAGCCGAGCCGCACCAATGTGTCAGAGGAAACACCGTACACCTGGCGACCGTGTCAGCATGCACTATGCCTGGCCCGCCACAGGAGTCACTAGTGCACGATGGGACAAGAATATCCCTGCCGGCCAAACCCTCCCCTACCTGGATGACGCTGGGCCAATTGTGCGCCGCCCCATGGGTCTCCCGGTCGCAGCCGGCTGCGACAGAGCCTGGACTCGAACCAGGATCTCTAGTGGCACAGCTAGCACTGCGATGCAGTGCCTTAGACCACTGTGCCACTCGGGAGGCCCAAAACAGCTGTAAATAATAATAATATAAAAAAAGTTACAGCTGTTTAAAGTGACGAAAAGTAGCTAGCTAACGTCAGCTTCTCATGTCTCATCATTGAGCAGCCCAAACGGAGCTATTACTCTGGATACTCACAGTGCATGGGGCAGCGCAGGGAGCGAGGGACAGACAAAGACAATCAGCTATAGATACTAACAAAGGAAGTTACTTTATTTCTAATTTCGGGTTGAGCAATTGGCCTGGGTAGGGTAGGGCCTGAACGTCAACGGCCTGGGTAGGGTAGGGCCTGAACCTCAACGGCATGGGTAGGGTAGGGCCTGAACGTCAACGGCCTGGGTAGGGTAGGGCCTGAACGTCAACGGCATGGGTAGGGCCTGAACGTCAACGGCATGGGTAGGGTAGGGCCTGAACGTCAACGGCATGGGTAGGGCTTGCGCTAAAATGTCATGCCCATGCAGGACTCTCCATAAAATGTAACAATGGTTGCGTGTTGCGTTTGCCCAGGGCTTCGGGATACAAGTGTGAATCACTACATGTACCCACACACATACACTTTATTTTTGCTTGACTGAGCTTGCCTGGCTTACTGGACCAATAGAATAGTCCCAAAATTGCAAATCTGACCATCTGACACTCCAGGCAGGCTAGAGAAAACCCTCAAAGTATAGTATTTGAACATCCAGTATTTGACACAGACTTTTCTTTCCTAACAGGTCTGAAGGATAAGCCACAATCTTCACACAACCCTGTGTACGTAAATCAGACAAAATCATGTCATGAACGTTTCCTGCAAATTTTATCAATTTGCTTTGTTCATAACTTCAAGTAGATTCAAATTCAACTATTGACTCGACTTGTGTATCCCCCTGGGGACAGATGTGCTCCGAGGGAATGGGTGCCCTTCTCCTGCCAGTGGGTCCCTCTTCCCTAAAGACACCAAACCAACTTTAACATGTTCAGGATATCCTATCCAATCAATTAATCAATCAGCCAATCCATTTTTCCATCTACCTACTTTTTCAACTACAACCAGTCACCACCATTACTACTGCAGACACTACCACTACTATACATATTTCAAAACCATAAATACTTTAAAACAAGCTAGCAACCACACCACATTTTCTTCAGGAAATGTACTTTTCTAGTTCTTTGGGTTTTAGACTTTTCTAATCTGAACACCTGCTCATTCGTCCTTATTTTTAGGCACGTGCGATTTCACACTCAACTTCAAGCACGAAGGTGACTATGCATGCCAGCTAGCTACTTTGCGTTTGATAGTAAATTCTGAAAACAAGTAAGTCTAAACATATACACGCGGTTGTCAGCCATTTGTGCAACATGTTTTTTTCTTTTTTCTTTATCTGCGTCCAGCTAAACCTTCGGTAGAATTCAAATGTTTTGCACTAGAATAAATGGCCTGGCTACTACCAAACATGACAACTGTGGCGGGTAAACTCGCAGCATAATGACAACACAAGCAACTTGTGCCGCGAACCAGCATCAGAAATATGTCAGGATTATTTTGCTTCCATCAACAAATCACACAAAGCACTATTATCAATCTTACCTGCATTTTGCGGAAGGCCTAACGTTGGTTTTTCACTCCATACATTGACAAAATAATGATGCATGTTTCAGCCTCAAGGTCAATTATCTGCAAATAGCCTAGATGTTCAGTTATGCATTCAAAATATCTTTAGATGCAGCATTAATTCTACAGTATATGGTTGGATTCTCACTGTTGCTTGTAGGTTTTCTGGTATGAAGGTTGGTCATCATCAGAGTCTTCAGGCTCTTCCTCCACCATGCAGCTCCTGGAAAAGGCAGCTGATAATGAATGCCCATATACTGCCATGGCAACATCACACACTGGTACACACATACAAATACATACAGTGCATTCGGAAAGTATTCAGACCCCTTGACTTTTTCCACATTTTGTTACGTTACAGCCTTATTCTATAATCGATTAAATAAAAAATGTCCCTCATCAATCTACACACAATACCCCATAATAACTAAGCAAAAACTGGTTGTTTTTTGTGTGTAAATGTATTACAAATAAAAAACAGAAATACCTTATTTACATAAGTATTCAGACCCTTTGCTATGAGACTCGAAATTGAGCTCAGGTGCATCATGTTTCCATTGATCATCCTTCAGATGTTTCTACAACTTGGAGTCCACCTATGGTAAATTCAATTGATTGGACATGATTTGCAAAAGGCACACACCTGTGTATATAAGGTCCCACAGTTGACAGTGCATGTCAGAGCAGAAACCAAGCCATGAGGTCGAAGGAATTGTCTGTAGAGCTCCGAGACAGGATTGTGTCGAGGCACAGATCTGGGGAAGGGTACCAAAAAATGTCTGCAGCATCGAAGGTTCCCAAGAACACAGTGGCCTCCATCATTCTTAAATGGAAGAAGTTTGGAACCACCAAGAATCTTCCTAGAGCTGGCCACCCGGCCAAATTGTGCAATCGGGGAGAAGGGCCTTGGTCACTCTGACAGAGCTCCAGAGTTCCTCTGTGGAGATGGGAGAACCTTCCAGAAGGACAACCATCTCTGCAGCACTCCACCAATCAGGCCTTTATGGTAGAGTGAGCAGACGGAGGCCACTCCTCAGTAAAAGGCACATGACAGCCCGCATGGAGTTTGCCAAAAGACACCTTAAGGACTCTCAGACCATGAAACCAGATTCTCAAGATTGAACTCTTTGGTCTGAATGCCAAGCGTCACGTCTGGAGGAAACATGGCACCATCTCTATGGTGAAGCATGGTGGTGGTAGCATCATGCTGTGGGGATATTTTTCAGCAGCAGGGACTGGGAGACTAGTCAGGATCGAGGGAAAGTTGAACGGAGCAAAGTACAGAGAGATCCTTGATGAAAACCTGCTCCAGAGTGCTCAGGACCTCAGACTGGGGCGAAGGTTCACCTTCCAACAGGACAACGAACCTAAGCACACAACCAAGACAACGCAGGACTGGCTTCGGGACAAGTCTCTGAATATCCTTGAGTGGCCCAGCCAGAGCCCAGACTTGAACCTGATCGAACATCTCTGGAGACATGAAAATAGCTGTGCATCGACGCTCCCCATCCAACCTGACAAAGCTTGAAAGGATCTGCAGAGAAGAATCTCCCCAAATACAGGTGTGCCAAGCTTGAAGTGTCATACCCAAGAAGACTCAAGGCTGTAATCGCTGCCTAAGGTGCTTCAACAAGGTACTGACTAAAGGGTCTGAATACTTCTGGAAATGTGATATATCCGTCTTTTATTTTATTTTTATAAATTTGCAAAAATATCTAAAAACCTGTTTTTGCTTTGTGATTATGGGGTATTGTGTGTAGATTGATGAGGGGGAAAAAACAATTTAATTAATTTTAGAATAAGGCTGTAACGTAACAAAATGTGAAAAAAGTGAAGGGGTCTGAATACTTTTGCACTGTACATTCCGTTAGGCAAGTAGACATGCACACAAACAAAGACCGAGGGGGCCCACAAAACATGTTATAAGCATGTTCATTTGATCTAGGTGGGTTCGGGACACACCTGAACTGGGGGTCGGGGTTCATGTGGCAGAACCACTTCTCTGGGAGCAGTCTGCAATCAATCCCATCTGGCAGCTTCCTCCAGCGCAGGCAGGTGTCACATTGCACCCAGTTCTGGTCCGGGCGCTTCCTATGGGGATAGAGATACACAGAAGAACCAGTTAGAGGAGGGACGGAGACAAAGAGGAAAGGAGAAAGGAAGACGGAGGAGTGTTTTACTTACATGGTGTCTTCCACTGGTACGGTGCTGTTAGGATCTTCTTTGTCTCTTTTAAAGCGGATCTCTTTCCAGTAGTCCTCCAGCTTTACCCCCAAGTTGTTGATGGTTTTCCTGCACAAAGAAAATAAGAAATAAACAATGACAGTTTACATAGTGCTGATTTATCCAGCTAAATTATTGAAAGTACACTATCTTTAAAGTGTGTGGGCAGATAGCTGCAAAATAGTCAGATTGTTTTGTTTCATTGAGTGGAAAACAGTTCTTCAGGAAGTGTTCTTGAAGGGAGCACTCTCCTCCTCACCTATATGTGGTAAGAGTCCTTACCTGTATTTGTCGGTATTGTCAAAATCTTGCTTGTTGTGGGTGGGCTCCAGAAAGTTACACTCGATAACCCCAATTACCCCGAGACCTTGGATGTTGGCCTGACGGGGGTAGAGGTGGTTATGGGTCAGTGATGGAGGACATAAGGCATCAGAGTACCACAATAGATGGCAATACTTTTTCTTATGCACATGCACAATCCACTCGCACAAACATACAAATACACTCTTTTACCTTGAGTTGAACGCCCACTCGCTCATAAGGTTTTATGAGGCGGTTCTTGTGGTACATCATGATGCCGTATTGGTCTTTGCTCTTGGTGTTGTACCCAAAGGTGATGGGAATACGTCTGTTCTGGTACAGGACTTAAGGCCTCAAACAGGAAGGAGAGCAGATGACACATATCCTCTTCCCTTTGTGAAAAATACCCTATTGTATCACTGTGCTGAACATGAACATCTAGCTATGGAATGTATTGAACTAATATTAGTTAAACATAAGTAACTGATTATTATTGCAAGCTTATAAAAGCATTGTGTCTATGGCAGTGACTGATGGTATTTCTTGTATGTAGAGCATAGTACCCATATTTGACTATTTCTATTTTCCCTCCAAAACAAAACAGAAGTAGTGTCTCCAGGATGTGACAACACCAACACACAGTAAAGCCATCCACAGAGGCTCCTGGGTGGGGTAGGATACCACGAAGTTGGGCTTGTAATAGTCCTTCGCGATGTATGCCAGGCTCTTGGAGATGAGCTCAGTCTTCACTTTTTGCCCTCGAATGACGATCTGCATACGCGGCTTCAGGTACAGAATACTGCAGTATGCCTGAGCACACAAACAACACATTGAGAGAATACAATAAACAATCAGCCCAGCGTCGTCCGGGTTTGGCCGGTGTAGGCCGTCATTGTAATTAAGAATTTGTTCTTAACTGACTTGCCTAGTTAAATAAAGTTAAAATAAAAAAAATAAATCAACAATCAATCAAAATACAACACTAAGAAAAAAATGAAATAAAATAGGCTATTTCACACATACAAATGATAACACACTAGTCCAGCGTTTCCAAACACTGTCCTGGGGACCCCAAGGGGTGCACCTTTTGGCTTTTGCCCTAGCTTTACACAGCTGATTCAAATAATCAACTCAAGCTTTGATTATTTTAATCAGCTGTGTAGTGCTAGGCAAAACCGAGTTTGGAAAATGCTGCACTAGTCAAAGGATAAATTATTTCAATCCAGCTAAAGCTACGCTCTGTTGTGTGAAATGCTGTATGGAACGTCAATATAACATCACTATACTAATACTTACACGTAGCGAGTAGTAACTCTCTGGTTTTGTGAGCAGCTCCGACCGCCTGTATTGCTCACTGGTGCTCTCCAAGACATCCAACGGGATTCTGATGTCGTAACTGGATGTTGTGAAATCAAACTCTGTTTGTCCTGTTAATGTCCTGTGGACAAAAATAAACACTTACTGTATAGACTCCTACTCAACGGTTTTACTTGCTCCACACTTCAAAAAGGGCCTCAGGGCTGACCCCTAATGGTGGAATTTTAGGTTTTGACTATGTTCAAGGGGAAGCGAAAGTGAAACCTACAATTCCACCAAGGGAGTAATCTGATGGCCGAGAGAGTGGCAATTTCAAAGGAGAAGTGACATTTGAAAGTCAATTCCACGTAGTTGAGGGAGAAGGAAAGAGAGGAAAATGTCCTTATATGGAATCTGTAAGAGAGAAATACTCAAGTGTGTATGTGTCTGACCTGCGCAGGCTCCAGATGATGATGCGTGTTCCTGAAGAGCCCGTGGAGCAGGTGGAGTTGATGGCTTTGAGCTCTGTGAGCAGCTCGTTCTCCGTCTTAAAGAGAGAGTAGTACAGGATGTCCTGCAGACTGGCCTTGTGCTTCTCATTCACACGGAGTGCACCAGAAGTCAAGGACAACACACACAGGAACAATACAACCGATAGACCTAAATAGCTAGCCGTATTTAAGATTGGCACTATCAAATGACACTGTGTACAAGTACATCTATAGATCTACATCCCACCTGTCCAAACTGTTTGAAGGTGATGACAGTTTAAGCACTATGATGTGTGTGTGTGTGTATAGTCTCTCTATAAAAGGATATACTGGTTGAGTCCGACGCGTTGGAAGGAGACGATGGGTACGATGATCTGCTCTGCTTTGATCTGTGCCAGGTAGCTCTGGGAGAGCATGCCCACATGCATGGAGTCTCCATCTAGCGACTTGGAGAACACGATGGCGTCTCGTCCCAGACGCATGGACCCCGACTTGAAACCGTTACCGTAGAGACCAATCGGGTGCTGGCCGTTTATGACTGTCTTCTCACTGTAACCGAAGCTGAGGAGAGAGAAAGATAGAGAAAAATGTTTTTTTTTTTATGTACATGAATCATAAACTTGCATTCTTATAGCACAGCATACATTATTTATTTTTTTACTTGTCCCTGGTTTGTTCCGGGAACGTCCCTTTAGACATTTTCAGGATGTTCTCTGAACATTTGTTTTTCCAATCGTCAAGACATTACATGATGGTCCCAAGGGAACGTTCTCTGGGGGACTTCTGTAAGTTCCCTGGATGTCATGGAGGACCAGGTCAGGACGTTCTCAGGACATTCACCAGTGTCACCAGGACGTCACGTGATGGTCCCGAAGGGGGTGTTCCCTGCAGGACTTTTGTCCAGGCTTTTATCTAACCTGATTCACCCTGCTAAAGTAGTGGTAGTGGTTAAGAGAACTGTCCATACCTGAGCATCTTGTGCATCTTTTCATAGTCCAGCCCATTTCCATTGTCCATGAAGATGAGGCAGTCTTGGCCTTTAAACTGGGTCTTATCAATCCAGAACTGCTTGGCATTGACATCTGGATCATAGGCATTATCTGGGGAAAGACATGGAAATAGAGGACTTGTAAGCATAGAGGAATATGAACAGAATACATTAGAAATGACATTTGACAAAATATTGTTTTTACACTATGTTGTTTTACAAATAACGAATCCCTTTCATAGTGTATGCCACCATAGCAGACCACCCAAGCCATTTGCCCAACGCCAACACATCCACGCCAAACCAGCATAGGAGTCCAAGCCAAACCACATTGCCATCTGTGTTGCGAATACTGTGGAAAACTACCACGCATCAGGGTTTTAGACACCCCAGATAACATTCAAAGCTGTGTAATGTAAAGTGTGATATATATAATATGTCCTCCTTTGTTGCTTGTGCAATGTGGACAATTACAACAGGCTGCCTTTGACAGCTGTAACAGAGGATGCCACCCCAGCCTCTGCTGTAGATGCAACATCTTCAAGACACTACTGGAACATCAGCTAACACAAACATGTGGTCTGGTCTCACTCTCCCCAGAACTATCTTCAAAATCCCTCCCTCCCGCTATCCATCCAGCCATCTCCTTTTCAAATGTTCCTCCCTACCGCCATCTTTGTACTACTATCTTCTATTGTCTAGCTCCCCCCCTCTCCATTATTCTGTCTGGAGCAGGCTTGAATCCAAAGGCCTGTCCAAAGCCACACTGGCGAGGTGGGGTTGGCAGTGTGTGTGTACTGGCTAGATGGGAAACACTGGGCTGATGAGAGATATTGCTATATCCTAAGCCTTTATTGCTCCAGGTAGAGGTAGAAAGAGAGAGAAAGAGTGGAATGGGTTAGGAAAAGTGAGGGGTATGGAAGGAAATCAAGAGTGTGAGATACTGGAACACAGAGAAAGATGGAGATAAGAGAAGGAGATAGGAGGAAACTGTAGCAGAGACATGCAAAGAAATGTGATGGACATCTGAGACGGTATCTGGTGACAGGCTGAATACTAAACTGGGTTGGCAGACAGACTGCAGACAGGCAGACTGCACTGCAGCAACAGAGACCTGCCTGAGAAACTGCTCATTGCTCAATGACTGATAAGCAGGGCTCCAGACTGCAACCATTTAGTCGACCCTATGACTTGCTGTGCGAGTTACATTTTAATTGGCTACACATTCTACCTGGTCACCTCAATCAAAATGTCCTATTTTTGGGGCAAATAAAACCTTGATTTGGTTAAACAGCAAACTGCATTATACTCATGATTCTTTTAATGAAACTGTCTGCCCTCCCGCTGTGCCTGTTTCGCTGGGGCCAGCTGCTGTAATGAGCGAGCATCTCACATTCTCACAAAAAAAAACAGAACATTCTGGCGCCCTATTTTGACATGAAAATATAACTAAAAATTGCAAGACAATCACTGGATTAGGTTGCATATCAAAAAATCTTGAATCATGCATTCCTGCTTAGACTTGTTAGATGTAACAACTTATTTATTGAATACCATCTCAGTAGTCTATTACACACTACTTACTAAAGCTTTGTGAATGACCTTATAATCACTTTATAAGATGATTACTCCTATTATTTCTATTGCGTGACGTTGCAAGAATTTATTTGGATGGTGCAACCAAATTATGGGCTGGTGCCACCAACTGAAAAAGTTAGTGCCACCAGGGGAAAATGTTAGCCTGGAGCCGCGTGATAAGGGAACGGGATTAATCATCATGGAGGCTGAAAGTGTCTGTTGAAAACGACCACCCCAGGGACAGGACTGCTGTGAGATAGGCTATAGGCCTAGCCTGTGGGATAAAGTGCCTTATCCAGACACACTGCTGTAGGCTAATTGTCAGAAACTATGGTAATATGGTTCAAGAAAAAAAAAGTATAATCACAATGACGTAATTCGAAAGCAAATCAAGGAGATGCGAGGAAAAGGTCCTCTGTAGCTCAGCTGGTAGAGCAGCTGGTAAAAGCGTCTGCTAAATGGCATATTATTATTATAAAAGTGAGGAAGGAGAGCCGAGGAGGGCAGGGGTCCTTGAACATCCATTAGGTTATATTCCCACTCATTGTAGGGTATCAGAGAGGCATTACGGCGTATATTTGAATTCCCTCTTTCTCTGACGCTCTCGAGTAGTTTATGTGACAGAGCAGCCTAGCACATGGATTATTTCTTAGCAAGGGTAAAATGTTCTTATATGCAACATCCATGACTGCCAACTTGGGAGAGTGGAGAAGGGAGAAAGCTAGAAAGGTAGAGAGGAGGGGCCAGGAGGCAAGACAGGGGATTTAGAGTGATAGTCCTTGAGCTTCCATTAGGTTATATTCCAACTCATTGTAGGGTTCAGAGAGCTTTAGCATTCTCTGTCGATCTTGAGTAGTTTATGTGCGATAGCAGCCTAGAACAATAACTTTTTTTAGTACAGTCTGGGGAATGGTAGTAGAAAGGTAGAGAGGCGAAGTGAGTATAGGAGGGGAGGGGAAGGCATGGCAGGGGAAAGAAAATAGCATATTCCTTAGTGTGATTTGAATTGAGAGTGATATTCATTGAACATCAATGAGGTTATATTCCCACTCATTGTAGGGTTCAGAGATCTTAAGCTCTTCAGTGTGTCGTGTTAAAATGCACTCCCCATGCATGGAACATTTCATTTGCATGCACATTAGTGTGTCATACAGCATAGGTTACATGTAGCATACATCAAAAAGTTAGATTCCATGTTATGAAAATTCCCAAACGTTTCCAAAGTACAGTACATTTTGAAAGTTACTGAGAATATTTCCTCCCTTTGCAACCCTACTCTGGAAAACAGACATCCCCAGGGACCGCTGTGGGTCAGTCTATAAGTCTACCCCAGGGGACAAAGAAGACCCATCCATAAACACTGTTGGGATGGGAAAAGAATCCCATCCAAAAATGAAACGCTCAGCAGGATAAAATAGGTCACAAAGTGAGTGCAGAACATTGCCTCTGAGAGTAGCCATTTTAACACCATGATGCTCAGCGATTGGACAGGAATGACTTACAGTTGGACACAGCGATTGGACAAATATGACAGGTGACACACCGGTTAACTTGGCGACTGGACAGTACGACTGATGATGATGACTCACCTATTAATTCAGCGATGGCGCTGAAGGGCCAGGTGTGGCTGGTGGAGTTTGTGTGGAGGAACTTGGGACAGAGCTGTTAAGGGAGGAGTAGAGTTAGCCTATGTTGATGACATTAAATGGATCAAATTTGGTATATTACCACCTCCTTCAGGAAGCATTATATTAGGTCTACTCCATTTGGAGGCGAAAGAAACGCACATCTGTTTATGCGAGGTGCTGGCTAGCGGAGTAGAACACCTGAAAAAGAAAAGGAGAGCCGCACACTCTAGGAGCTCAGATGCAATAATTGTATAACCTGATAAACAAAGTTTATCAGGTTATAATGACAAACACTGCGGGTCACTAGTTTATATAGTGTCAAATGACACACACACCGGGTCACTAGTTTATATAGTGTCAAAGGACACACACAGACCCACAGTGTTTGTCATTATACCCTGATGAAGACAGCTTGTCTGTCAAAACGTTGGTTATCTGGTTATTATATTTTTGCATCTGAGCTCCTAGAGTGTGCAGCTCTCCTTTTCTTTTTCAGGCCTACTCCATTCCCAGATGACTGACAACCCTACATGTCCTGACTGATTAACCTACATGTCCTGACTGATTCCCAGATGACTGACAACCCTACATGTCCTGACTGATTAACCTACATGTCCTGACTGATTAACCTACGTGGGTCCATCCCCACAACCTGTGAGTTTAAAGTGTGAAAAGCACACCCAATACTCACTGCCTTCATTCATCTCACACAAACCTCTCCATCTTCAACCTCCCCCTCCTCTCAAACACACACACGCCTGTAGATTCAGAAGCCTCCCCAAGCAGACCCCAGGTCACATGGAGAGGATCGTTTTAAATGATATAAGATGCATGTCCGGGCCAATGTGGTCATTATTGGCTATACGGTGAAAATTGACACTATTTCCCCATTTGAATGGAATAAGATAGCTTGGATGCAGCAACAGCAACCATACTGTGACCGAGGAGTGGAATCATTGGGGTATATATTATAGCTATGAACTGGAGACAGCGTCCAAGATGGCCGACCGTTGTTTTCAACGTAATCTGCTCACGTTCCCATACGCTGTTTCGTGGTGGTTGCCATCTGCTTTACAACGCCGTGAAAACACGCCCGTTAGGCAATCTGGCGCTTTGATTTGAACACAATTCAATCTCCCGGATTTCCGAATCTCTCGACGCAACTCGTTTTTGACAATAGTGGATGAGCGCCATTGGGCTACTCGGTGTGTGACACAGAAAAATATTGCACGTCACCACAACAACACCGCATGACATGAGATGATGAGAAACGCCTCTACAAAGTATATATTTTCCCCAAGTTCAGAAATAGTTATGTATTTATCTAGCAAACGACAACACCGAAATATCCAGCTCCGCTGTTCAAAAGATGTTCCACTTTGTATGGGGACTGGGGGTTATCAATATCGCACGCGCTAACGGCAATCAACATTCCCAAAGGATATTGGTTAGCTAGCTCCAAAACATACATCACATTATGCGATCGAACCAACAAGACTATCGCCATACTTCTAAATTTACTGCACAGCAATTTACTTCTACATACAAATCCCAACAGATTATAGATAGTGTCAAATATCATGATATGCTTACCGCACTTAGAGGCACTCCTCTCTGTACTTGCGACGCCATCTTCTCCGAAATGCAGAAGGGGCGTGGTCAACATGCACAAGTCCAGCGCGAGGGCACCGCCCAGCTGGATATAACCCCGCCCATAACATGCTGTTGGTGTGTTAAGAATAACTTAATTTATCTGTTTATTCACGAACCAATTTATATCAATTTAAAAGAAAGACACTGGCATCTTAATATGGCTAACACCTAACTCTCGAAGTCCTCCTGACTTCAGAGTCTGGAATGGTTCTCTGATGTTGTCGGCACAATGCGTCGATAATGAAGGGGGCTGTGCTATTACTGGTTGGCTCTCCACTGTGTCTTTCTCACTCAAACACCCACACGCACAGACCCAAGCCCCGCCCTTCCATTTTCATTATTTTTTTTGCATTATCAATCAATCAAATCAATCACATTTTAATTATAAAGCCCTTTTTACATCAGCAGATGTCACAAAGTGCTATACAGAAACCCAGCCTAAAACCCCAAACAGCAAGCAATGCAGATGTCGAAGCATGGTGGCTAGTAAAAACTCCCTAGAAAGGCAGAAACCTAGGAAGAAACCTAGAGAGGAACCAGGCTCTGAGGGGTGGCCAGTCCCCTTCTGGCTGTGCCGGGTGGAGATTATAACAGTACATGGCCATTAAGGCCAGATTTTTCTCCAAGATGTTCAAACGTTCAGAGATGACCAGCAGGGTCAAATAATAATCTAATCAAATCAAATCAAATTGTATTGGTCACATGCGCCGAATACAACAGGTGCAGACATTACAGTGAAATGCTTACTTACAGCCCTTAACCAACAGTGCATTTATTTTTAACAAAAACAGTTAAAATAAAACAACAACAAAAAAAGTGTTGAGAGAAAAAAGAGCAGAAGTAAAATAAAGTGACAGTAGGGAGGCTATATATACAGGGGGGTACCGTTGCAGAGTCAATGTGCGGGGGCACCGGCTAGTTGAGGTAGTTGAGGTAATATGTACATGTGGGTAGAGTTAAAGTGACTATGCATAAATAATTAACAGAGTAGCAGCAGCGTAAAAAGGATGGGGTGGGGGGTCAGTGCAAATAGTCCGGGTAGCCATGATTAGCTGTTCAGGAGTCTTATGGCTTGAGGGTAGAAGCTGTTGAGAAGTCTTTTGGACCTAGACTTGGCACTCCGGTACCGCTTGCCGTGCGGTAGCAGAGAGAACAGTCTGACTAGGGTGGCTGGAGTCTTTGACAATTTTGAGGGCCTTCCTCTGACACCGCCTGGTATAGAGGTCCTGGATGGCAGGAAGCTTGGCCCCAGTGATGTACTGGGCCGTACGCACTACCCTCTGTAGTGCCTTGCGGTCGGAGGCCAAGCAGTTGCCATACCAGGCGGTGATGCAACCAGTCAGGATGATCTCGATGGTGCAGCTGTAGAATTTTTTGAGGATCTGAGGACCCATGCCAAATCTTTTCAGTCTCCTGAGGGGGAATAGGCTTTGTCGTGCCCTCTTCACGACTGTCTTGGTGTGTTTGGACCATGATAGTTCGTTGGTGATGTGGACACCAAGGAACTTGAAGCTCTCAACCTGTTCCACTACAGCCCCGTCGATGAGAATGGGGGCGTGCTCAGTCCTCTTTTTTTTTTCCTGTAGTCCACAATCATCTCATTTGTCTTGGTCACGTTGAGGGAGAGGTTGTTGTCCTGGCACCACACGGCCAGGTCTCTGACCTCCTCCCTATAGTCTCATCGTTGTCGGTGATCAGGCCTACCACTGTTGTGTCGTCGGCAAACTTAATGATGGTGTTGGAGTCGTGCCTGGCCATGCAGTCATGGGTGAACAGAGAGTACAGGAGGGGACTGAGCACGCACCCCTGAGGGGCCCCCGTGTTGAGGATCAGTGTGGCAGATGTCTGAGCACGCACCCCTGAGGGGCCCCCGTGTTGAGGATCAGTGTGGCAGATGTGTTGTTACCTACCCTTACCACCTGGGGGCGGCCCGTCAGGAAGTCCAGGATCCAGTTGCAGAGGGAGGTGTTTAGTCCCAGGATCCTTAGCTTAGTGATGAGCTTAGAGGGCACTATGGTGTTGAATGCTGAGCTGTAGTCAATGAATAGCATTCTCACGTAGGTGTTCCTCTTGTCCAGGTGGGAAAGGGCAGTGTGGAGTGCAATAGAGATTGCATCATCTGTGGATCTGTTGGGGCGGTATGCAAATTGGAGTGGGTCTAGGGTTTCTGGGATAATGCTGTTGATGTGAGCCATGACCAGCCTTTCAAAGCACTTCATGGCTACAGACGTCAGTGCTACGGGTCGGTAGTCATTTAGGCAGGTTATCTTAGAGTCCTTGGGCACGGGGACTATGGTGGTCTGCTTGAAACATGTTGGTATTACAGACTCAGTCAGGGACATGTTGAAAATGTCAGTGAAGACACTTGCCAGTTGGTCAGCACATGCTCGGAGTACACATCCTGGTAATGCGTCTGGCCCTGCGGCCTTGTGAATGTTGACCTGCTTAAAAGTCTTACTCACATCGGCTACGGAGAGCGTGATCACATAGTCATCTGGAACAGCTGGTGCTCTCATGCATGTTTCAGTGTTGCTTGCCTCGAAGCGAGCATAGAAGTGGTTTAGCTCGTCTGGTAGGCTTGTGTCACTGGGCAGCTCGCGGCTGTGCTTCCCTTTGTAGTCTAATAGTTTTCAAGCCCTGCCACATCCGACGAGCGTCAGAGCCAGTGTAGTACGATTCAATCTTAGTCCTGTATTGACTCTTTGCCTGTTTGATGGTTCGTCGGAGGTCATAGCGGGATTTCTTATAAGCGTCCGGGTTAGAGTCCCGTTCCTTGAAAGCGGCAGCTCTACCCTTTAGCTCAGTGCGGATGTTTCCTGTAATCCATGGCTTCTGGTTGGGGTATGTACGTACGGTCACTGTGGGGACGACATCATCGATGCACTTATTGATGAAGCCAGTGACTGATGTGGTGTACTCCTCAATGCTGTCTGAAGAATCCCGGAACATGTTCCAGGCTGTGCTAGCAAAACAGTCCTGTAGCTTAGCATCTGCGTCATCTGACCACTTTTTTATTAACCGAGTCACTGGTGCTTCCTGCTTTAGTTTTTGCTTATAAGCAGGAATCAGGAGGATAGAGTTATGGTCAGATTTGCCAAATGGATGGCGAGGGAGAGCTTTGTATGCGTCTCTGTGTGTGGAGTAAAGGTGGTCTAGAGTTTTTTTCCCTCTGGTTGCACATTTAACATGCTGGTAGAAATTAGGTAGAACGGATTTAAGTTTCCCTGCATTAAAGTCCCCGGCCGGGAAACTTAAATCCGTTCTACCTAATTTCTACCAGCATGTTAAATGTGCAACCAGAGGAAAAAAAACTCACAGTGGTTGTAGAGGTTGCAACAGGTCAGTACATCAGGAGTAAATGTCACTTGGCTTTTCATAGCCGGGCATTTAGAGGTTGAAATAGCAGGTGCGGTAGAGAGAGAGAGTTGAAAACAGCAGGTCTGGGACAAGGTAGCACGGTCAGGGTTCCATAGCTGCAGGCAGAAGAGTGGAAACTGGAGCAGCAGCACGACCAGGTGGACTGGGGACAGCAAGGAGTCATCAGGCCAGGTAGTCCTGAGGCATGGTCATAGGGCTCAGGTCCTCCGGGATGGGAGGGAGGGAGAGAGGGAGAGAGAGAGAATTAGAGGGAGCATACTTAAATTCACACAGGACACTGGATAAGACAGGAGAATAACACCAGATATAACAGACTGACCCTAGCCCCCCGGCACATAGACTATTGCAGCATAGATACTGGAGGCTGGGGGGTTGGGAGACACTGTGGCCCCGTCCGACGATACCCCCGGACAGGGCCAACCAGGCAGGATATAACCCCACCCACTTTGCCAAAGCACAGCCCCCACACCACCAGAGGGATATTATTATTATTATTATTATTATATTATATTTATATTTATATTTATATTATATTATTATATTTATTATTATTTATATTATATATCAACAGACCACCAACCTACTACCCTGAGACAAGGCTGAGTATAGCCCACGAAGATCTCCTCCACTGCACTAGCCCGAGGGAGCGACAAACCGGACAGGAAGATCACGTCAGTGACTCAACCCACTCAAGTGATGCACCCCTCCTAGGGATGGCATGGAAAGCACCAGTAAGCCAGTGACTCAGCCCCCGTAATAGGGTCAGAGGCAGAGAATCCCAATGGAGAGACAGGAACCGGCCAGGCAGAGAAAGCAAGAGCGGTTTGTCGCTCTAGTGTCTTTCCGTTCACCTTCGCACCCCTGGGCCAGACTACACTCAATCAAAGGACCTACTGAAGAGATGAGTCTTCAGTAAAGACTTAAAGGTCGGAGACCGAGTCTGCGTCTCTCACATGGATAGGCAGGCCATTCCATAAAAATTGAGCTCTATAGGAGAAAGCCCTGCCTCCAGCTGTTTGCTTAGAAATTCTAGGGACAATAAGGAGGCCTGCGTCTTGTGACCGTAGCATATGTGTAGGTATGTACGGCAGGACCAAATTGGAGAGATAGGTAGGAGCAAGCCCATGTAATGCTTTGTAGGTTAGCAGTAAAACCTTGAAATCAGACCTAGCCCCCCCCCAAACCAAACCATAGAGACACAATAAAAGTATATTAAAGACAAGTTACATTTGGACAAATACTGTAGACACTTATTTGATCATTTAGTATTTATATATTTTAGGGATGTTATAAAAATCAATTAGAAAAATATTGAAACGATTGTTTTACCCATGAACTGAATTTTTTTTTTTTAGTCTTTTTTTGTATTTCACCCCCTTTTTCTTCCCAATTTCGATCTTGTCTCATCGCTGCAACTCCCCAACAGGCTCGGGAGGCGAAGGTCGAGTCATGCGTCCTCTGAAACATGACCCGCCAAACCACGCTTCTTAACACCCGCCTACTTAACCCAGAAGACAGCCGCACCAATGTGTCTGAGGAAACACTGTTCACCTGACAACCGAGGTCAGCCTGCAGGCGCCCGGCCCGGCCCGCCACAAGGAGTCGCTAGAGCGTGATGAGCCAAGTAAAGCCCCCCCCCCGGCCAAACCCTCCCCTA